ATGACGACAGAATTATGTGCGGACATGTGTTCATCTTTGCTTCATTCATATCTCGGAACATGCCTGCGGACAGTTTCCGTATAGACCGACACGCGGAGCGGCTCTGTTTACCAACACGGCCGGAAGGCCGCGCATGCGCGGTAGCTGTGTGGGCAAAAGCAGCCCGGCTCTCCGTGTTTTCCCCATTGCGTTCTATGGCGTGCGCTCGTTGTTGACGCTGTACGGACTGTTGTATTTTTATTTGTGCGTCGTATTTTCTCACAAGGTATGTCGTATGCTATGCCCGACTATTTGAGCTCGCTACACGAGCCTGAACGGCAGCGGTATCGAAACAAACTGTGCGTGAGCGGCGCTGCCTACGAGGATCCGTACGCCGTAAACAAGGCCTGCTGGACTTCCGACGTAAAGTTGCTGCCACGGAAGTCGACGGCTCACGTCGTCGTATATTTAGTTTTTTCGACAAGTCAGTTCACGGCCGACACGGTGAAGGCGTACAAGTCTCTCGAGGTCTATGATTACTTCGAGTCGGTTTCCGCTCTGCCGGCAGGATCAGCAGACTCTGGGTCTGCGGAAGAGTGTGTATTCATTAATTGATTAAATACACACAACGTCTTCAAGTCAAGGTATGATATTTTTTTACCCTCATGACCACAAGGCATGACAAATCACTAACGGTTTGTCCGTTCTGCAGTCTTGGCGGTAACAGGTTACAAGTAACGGCGTTGTTTGTAACGCGTTACTTTTTTCAGTAACGTAGTAACCTACTCGTTACGTTTTCGACACAGTAACGCGTAACGTATTTATGTTACTATTTCAAGTAACGTAGTTACGTTAGTCATTATTACTTCCAAATTCTTAAAGAAATTACACTTAAATTTTTTCCGTATTTTAGGCGTCAAGCCATGTTTCTCTTTGCGTTTTTTCTCGTATGTAGGTAAAACCGTAAAAAGAGATAAATAATTATGGTCAGTTTCTGCGTGAACGTAATGTTTCTTGATATATGACCTGTATCGTCAAAACCGTAAAATGTGTTAATTATAATTTTAAAGAAGTAACGTCCGTTACTTTTTATCGGCAGCGGTAACGCGTTACTTTTATTTTTAAGTAACGTAGCTCAGTAACGCGTACCTTTTATTTGCAAGTAACGAGTAGCGTATTTCGTTACTCTTTTTCGGTAACGCCTACAACACTGCCGTTCTGTCGCCGATCCCCTTCTGCTGGGTAGCACGTGCGTAGCGAGCCTCCGACGAGCGCTTGGCCGGTGCTTTGTGCGCGAACACCGTGGGATCAAATTCCGAGTGGTCTCGATCAGACAACGGTTTCCCTACACATAAGCAAGCCTCGGGACGGAGATTGAAATGGAAGCCGCACATGCCTTCAAGAAAGTGTTTGCCGCACAAACGGTCGTTCGCGCGAGGCGACCATTCTTTTCGATCCAGGGATATTATCTCGCTTCTATGCCTTTCAGAGTCTGCCGGGAACTTGCGGAAACTCACTCCGCTGTTTTTCTTGTACATTTCGGTCCAATTAACGGCAACACGGCTTCGCGGCAAGCTGAAATGCTATGACGCCCATGCGAAACATGCGCGCTTTTGCCCACACCCCCCGGCTCCGGCGCGATCGCAGCGCCGCCGCAGCTCCGTGACGTCAAGCCCGCGTGTCGGTGTATAACCAATGGGATACGAGAAAGATTCGGACAGTGTCTGCGGACGGCAAGGTGACTGGGGCTTTGAGGTACGGGTGTCAGCTGGCCCTGCATGAACGCGAGAGCCCCGCGGGCGTTGGCCCCCTTACCCTTCGGCGGCGTGCCCCGGCTCTCGGAGCGGCGTCGGGGCGAACCCAATTTCCGCTCTCATTTCGCGCTTCGGGCGACATCCGCCGGCCTCAGCTGTTCGCAATGAGCCTGACGTCAGGCGCCTCGCCGCGCCTCCGTCCCAGCTCCGAGGCTTTTCCGCCGTGCACTACATCGATGGCTCTTTCGTACACTTCGCGCTCACGCCACTTGCAGGCCACGCAGCTGCGGTCTCACGACCCAAACCTGGCTGTACGCTTCGAAAAAAGTTGCGTTTTTTTTAAAGTTTACATAAAAAAAAAAAAAAAAAAAAAAGATGAAAGTGGAAATTTGTTTGGTAGGCGTTACCTTTCAGAGTTATGTGCTACCGGCTTTAGCGAACGTCATGCATAAAAAAAAAGAGGGGGGGGGGGGGGGGGGCACACGCATCTATGCAACTGAAAATAAACTATTACTCGAAATGCGTTTAAATAAAATAAAAAAAAAAGAGTCTCTCACCTAGGGGGAACTTCCGGCTATTGGGAAGACTTCAACCTCCGTTCGGTGCACGTTCATAGTCGTCAACAGTGGCGAGGAAGCGAATAGGGAACGCTCTTTGGCATCAGTGAGGACGACACATTTCGGCACCTTGGCAAGGTTCAGTGCGATGCATTTCAGCTTGGTCATCTCGCCGCCTCCTGTTTACACGACGTGGGTGAACATGAATAGGAAGAGGCCTCCGAGGTCTGGCGATTATTTCTCCAGGGCGTTTGTGTGCGCCTGGGTCTCTGTCGGGGGGACGGGCGAGGGTGTTACCTTGATGTGCAGCACCAGATATAAATTTGAAAGAGAAAAAAAAAAATATCACTCTTGGAATAGGGTGAAAAATTGTTTATATCAGAGTTCTCAAACTCATTTGAGTGTGGAGGTCCAGATCGGGAAGGTTGAGGGCCAACGTAAGACTTAGGGGGGGGGGGGGGGGGGGGGGGGGAGAGGGGGGAGGGGGGGGGTGTTCAAAAGATTTTAAAAGAGACCTCGTGGTGTATACTTTTTGTAAATTCACAATTTTGCTAGTGACATATTTAGATTAGCTTTTTTATATTGCTATTTTGGGCCTTGAACTCATCTGATAACAAAAATTAAAATGACGCTGCCCCGCCAAAGTGCTGACATTTCTGATAGAGCAAGAGAACCAGTACACCGTCGCTTTTCGTTGCTCAATTCATGAGGAATTAACCAGGCTCAACATGTTTAAAAAAAAAAAAACATTCTGTTAGTTCGGCAGTTCTTCTTGCTTTCCTGACGATTTTTGTTACAATTATGGAACGAATACTTGTCTTTTAATGGCAATATTTTTTTTTGAAGGCGAGAATCCCGAGCTCGTAGCTTTATCACTGGCAGTAGCTCCTGCTGATCGAGAGTTCGCGGAGCCGATATGCATTTTTAAACGAATATCTCGCGCTTCCAGCCAGAAGCGGAATTGTTGTACATTACAAAAAGCTGGGAAGCAAAAAATAAAGCGAAACAATGGGCAAATGAACACAGATAAGCATAAACTATGTGAATACGTTAAGAGAGCGGAGCTACTTTTCGAGCGAAAATGACGAGACGAGTTGAGATCACCATGACGCATGCCATTTCTAGAGTTGGAGACATGGGAACCGGGAATCGTATAGCCGGTTGAAGTGTCTAGCCAAACGCCCTAAAACGATGTTAAACAAAATAAATCAGCCTTTTCCCGAATGGACGCAACGAACGTAGTGCTAACAGAGAATGTATTGAGGGTTACTTTGCGGTCAATTGGACAGATGAACTTGGCACGCATTTTTTATTTGTACAGCGCGAACATTGTGTAGCGTCTCTGAAAAATATCCCTCCTATGGGGATGTAAGGTGAGATTGACGTCACCTCTGACCCTGCAATTTCGCGTCTCCTAATTTCCTCCGAAGAACGTGCTTATTCCCTTCCTGTTCGCCCCTTGCAGTCTTTCACCGTATGTGCGAACACGCTCACTCGACATCCCCTGATAACAAGGCCAATCCACACAACACAACCTGGGTTGACAAAAGAAACGATGGGAAGCTAAAATCACACATGCCAGTTCGTGCCGCTGTCCTCGTTCATGGGGATCGCCTTTTCCAATGTAGGATTTGCGAAGTCTTTGCTAGGATATTACAAGTCGTAGCAAGGACATTACAACTTGTTTAAAGCCGGGGTCGCAATATCCGTGGTTCGAATGCCGCGTGTCAAGTTTCTCCTTGAACTCATTGCCATGCGGCATTCGAAGCACGGATCTCGCGGTGACTCGCGTGGAATCTGTACGCAGTCTGAGTTTTCTATGATATAGGAGCAGTGTGACGCTAATGTTACGCTGCCGAGCTCAAGTATTGCTGAAACGCGTCTGCTTCGAGACAATGAATTTTTTCCAAGAAGGGTTAATTTCGCACGTGCGCGAGCTCTACTCCCACCTGGCGGCGGAGGCTCGTATCTGCTTGGCAAAGGCGGAAGCTAAGCCAACTTGTTCAAAACAACGATTATTTGAGACTGCGTGGAAAAAATCATTGCCACGGTTGGGCACGCCCACAACTCGCGCATCTGTTGAGCTTTCCACCGAAGGTAGTGCGTACGGCCGCCGCTTGGCGCTATTTTATCAGGAAGAACAATTGGAGAAAGAGAAAACAGATCGCCCCGGCTAGCATTTGTGTATATCGAGGGAGCTCGTAACAATGTCATTAAAAAAAAAGCTTGAACATTTTGAGTAGCCTAATTGAGGAGGACGGAAAAACGGGATTCTTGAAGAATGTTTCCAAGACAACAAACACCTTACCGAGAGGAAATAGAACAGATTGACTGGTGATCAAACGACATCTTAGACAGGGCCTTTATCATTCATATTTTACTTAGTAAAATAAAAGGTAAAGCTAAAGAATCTTGGTCATGGTTTCAGTTACTCGCGCAAAATGTACTTGAAGTAAGCGTCTATATAGATACTCATCTACAAATGCAGCTAGATGCCGGTAAGCAGCCGTGGCCGTACAACGGGGCAAGAGAGCGGCGCGAAAGGTGGCCTCGGCCAGCGACCCTAGCTCGCGGACTCCTCGGCGCGTGCACAGGGAGCACCCAGGGGAGCCCCGTTTCGAGTGCGGTTCCGGCCCTGCGACCCAGATGGGCTTCGATCGGCGGAAAGGTGGCCGAGGAAGCGGCGAGGGAGAGGGCGCTAATGCAGCCAGGCATGGCCCCCCCGCCCACCGCCAACAGCCGTGCTCGCACCCCGCTCGTGCCCGGCTCAGACGGCATGGGGAGCCAGCGACGGCACGCGCTCTGGCTGACGGCCTCGACGCCCGTGCTCCTCCTGCTCCTGCTGCTGCTGCCAATGGTGCCAGAGAGCCTGGCCAAGGGCGCCAGGAACAGCGCCGCTATGGATACGGCCCTCAGGCAGATCAACCTGTCCCTGCTCTACACGTTGGCCTGTGGTGAGCCCTTGGCCTCCCACGCGATGTCTCGTCCCACCGTGGACTGCAGCGAGGGCTCGAGGCACGAGCTTCGAACTGTGTCTCGGATCAGCGAGTAACCGTGCACAAAAAGTACCGGATGAACTTCGGAACTCGCGCCTTCGTCCCCCGCACATTTTGGGAATGCTAAAGACGGTTTCCAGCTTTTCTTTTTGAATAACAGGAGGTCAAGAAAGCTACGGAAATTTGTTGAACATTTTAACTAGCCTTTTTTTTTTTGAACATTGTCGGAAGCTGACTGTGTCGAACATACGGAAGCCTTTCATATAGAGAGCGAAAGCACGGCGGAAGAAATTAATTTACATAAAATGGACGTAAGCACGAGTTACCTAAGCCGCTCACGGCACTGCGGAGAGAGAGGGTGGGCCAATTTTGTTTTAATATAATTCGTTCTTCGCTGATCCCATAGAAGGGGCACGATGAATATGCATGAATGGATCGTGTATAGCTGACTGGCTAGCGCAGAGGCGACAGATCTCGAACTGTATCTTGCGTTAAGGCCCGTTCACGCACTCGCGACTCCTTAGAACAGAGAGCCTTAAGACCTCTCAAAATCTCTTACGACGAGTGAACACACTGACACGCTGGCGCCATCTATGCGGTGACCCTGGAACTGCATTTCACTAGAGCGAATTCGGTTTGGTGGTATTTGCGAGGTCAAATGTACGTACTACTTATAAGGAATGTTCGTTTACAACTTTTACAGGCGTTTTTAAAGCCAAGAAAGAAAGAATGATGCGCGAAAAAAATAGAGAATATGCGGGACCGCCAAGTGTTCCACTGCTACCCGATAGGTGGTGCCAGTGTGTTCTCTCGTCGTAAGATATTCGAAGAGGTTTTAAGCAACTCGGTCCTAAGAAGTCGCAAGTGTGTGAACGGGCTTTTATGGTTGTATGAATTTTACGAGCACTGCATGCAACTGAGAAATGTCCGAGTACGTAGTGCACGCGGATGCATCCTGGGCCCCAACCATTGGGCTTCCTCGGATAAGCTTGGCCCAAGAGAGGGCGGTACCACGCTCCATCGCCCACGAAGCTTCCCCGAGATCTCGCGGTTATTGGAGCGTGATATCGATCGCCCTTCTGATTGGCCGAACCGATTAGAGGAAGAGCAACGATTGGTGTTCAGACCGGTTTGCGGGTCAGAATATACGCACGAGCTCCTAAAAGTGCCCCCATGGTGCGTTTTTTTTTTTTTCGGTCGCAGATACGACGGTGAGCAGCGAGGTGCAAGTCAAGCGTTTCCAGTGTCTCCTCCGGAGCATCGTACGTGCGCAGCACCCGCGGGGGCATAAGCACCTAGGGGACGAGGCCTTTGTCGCCTAACCGTCCTCACTTGCAGGCAGCGCCGCCTAGCTTGCGCCGTCGACAGTGCGTCTTGCAGCGTCTCACAAAAAGCGCGACGCTAGCAGGCGTCGACGCCAAGACGGACGGCTGTCGCTTCGCGGCCACTCTCGACGCTTCAGCCTATTTTGCCGCTTGGAGAAACGTTCTTAGATCTTTCATTTGACAAGCTCCACGGAAGAGCGGCCTTCGAAAACGGTTCTCCTCTGTTCAGGCACGTAGCCAGGATTTTGTTTCGGGGGGGCCCGCCCATGACGAAATTCTGTATGAGCGGAAGGGGGGAGTGGAGGTTCCAGCAAAGGGGGGGGGGGGGGGGGGGGAGCCCGGGCCCCTTGACCCCCCCCCCCCCCCCCCTGGCTACGTGCCTGCCTATGTTGCCTGCACGCGAGCAGGTACTGGCGGACAGAGCCGCATTGACCATTTCGCTGTCTACTAACACGAACCGCTGCTTGCGTCCCAAGCGACTTGCAGTTTCTCCATCTTTGTGAGCCTGTCGAGCTTGCTTATGTGACCAGTGCCAGAAAGCATGCCTGCTACACGAACAACAAAGTTAAAGATTTAGCGAGGGGATGCGGCTGTACGATTTAACGTCTTGGAGGAGGCAAGTTGGTTTACAAAAATATTCGAAAGATTTGAACAGATCTCGCCCTTTTTGGTTCTTTTTGCGTTCCCCTGGAAAATTGGTGGTTAAATGTTTCATCGCCGTTTCAAGCAGCGGTGTTGAGGTGTGCTTTGTTCATTCTTCTTGTGAACCGGGAGTTCGCTGGGACGTCAAAGACTAGAGCACCGCTTGGTGGCGTTTGCAAAGAAAAGGCTTTATATAGAGAGTTTGGTCAATGGGAGGAACGGGCAAAGCCAGGACGTAAACCAGACGCAGATCGAGGGCTTAACATGCTCGACGTGCTCCCTTGGCCAACCAGAATCCAAATACTCTCCCCTAGCGGTGGTAGCGAGGAACTTCTTTATCAAACGCGTAAGAGTTAAATGCAGTAACTATTCGCGGCTGAAAATAGGGTGTACGTGATGTTTCGAATGTGATCGCGCAGAAAGATCTAGAAACGAATGCGCCGCTCGAACTCTGTTTTGCTCGGACGGGGTCTGACCGCTCGGACGGCAGATTCCAGGCCTCCGGCGCCTGGCGTACGGATTACATCGATCCTTCTCCTAGTCGCGAAGTTTTTTTTTTTGTATCTTGTACAATCTTTATGTCTTCTACCATAATTTTGCATGACCGTGATCGAAACGTCACGTGCACCATATTTTCAGTCACCGAGAGTTACTCCGACGCACTTATTAATTATGCTTCTCGCGACCACCGCCGGGATATTATTCGCGGCTTCTGGTTGGCCGCATTCGAATTTGTGAGGACGCCCTGGGACACGTCCAGCCCACACTCGGCCAATGGCGCCTCCTCATTTGCCTCTTATACGTCCCAATGAATGGCCAAATTACGGCTCTGCGGGCGGATAGCGTTCTTAGCTCCACCAGCGTGAACGCCTTCTCACGGGAAACAAAAGAAGAACCATTTTCGAAGGACGTTATTTACGAAAACTTTATGTTTTCTATAAAACCACGAAATAATTCATTTGCACAGCAGGTAATGTGCGTGCAACGTTTGCCCGTTCTGCCGCTGCTTTCCATAGGGCGGGCTGATAGTGTAACGAGTAAAGTCCCCCTATCTTGTAGCGAGCGACATCGAGCGTACGCTCCACGAAAATGCGCGTTTTAGGAAGCTCGTCAACTGACTGCTTAGGGCGGGACGGGGGTCCACTAACAATGACGTCATTAGCCATAGAGCGAGGCTCAGTGGCTCTTTTTCGCTCGGCAGGACCCCTCGGACAAGATGGTGGTGCTTGGCTGCCAGTACAACGTGGGGGGCACCATGGACGCTGCCGCCTTCCTCACGGCACTCTGCGAGAACAAGCTCAACTGCAACAAGGTGAAACGCACCCGTCGAGACGCGGGAAGTGCGCGTCGCGCTTTTCGGGCACGCTTTTAAGCCCGAGTCAAATACATAGTACAAAAAGCGGTACGCAGACACTTCCCGAGGCGTGTCTTGTATGACGCTCACATTTGTCATACGAAAACTTTCTGCACAGATGTATGAAGCTAACATGCTTGCTGTGCGCAGATGTCATCGTGTCTGGAGCGAATGCCTTTTTTTGTACGACGTCGGAGTGCGGCTTTACGTGACCGAGTGGTACCCAAGCGTCCGCTCATTAACTCGGGATGTTGTCGTAGAATTGGCGGCGAAACGCTTACGTACCGCTCCTGAGAAATTTTGTCGAATCACTCGGTTTTCTGCATCTCACGACGTTTCTCTATTCTGAGAAGGGGACATGACGTCAGCAGATTTTATCACTTGGAGTAAGCGACAGGTTAGAAATGCCGCTCGCACTTGTGCCTTGGCTGAGCACATGCTCCCGAGACGCCCTACATAGGGCGTCTTAGGAGCATGCGCTCAGCCAAGGCACGAATGCGAGCAGCATTTCTAACCTATCGCTTACTCCAACTGAGGTTAACGAAGCTAGCAAGGACGTGTGGAGGTGGGCCTCCTAGTGCACCACTTGGCAACCGGGTGCATTCTTTAGGGGAGCGGTGCCCACGTGACTGATCCCCGCCACCCCGGCGCTTGCACTGCCTGCGAGGGCGACTCGCACCGGAGAATAGACATTAGCTAGTAAAGCGAGCTAGGAACGATGTCTACATATCATCCTGTACTGGAAGAATATTCGAATCAGACGAACATGGTTTAATTCGATAGCAGTTACAACTAGACCGATCACGCCTATTATCAAACCAGCCATTGTTAGCGCATTAATTTTCGGAAATCTTCAAACATTTAAAGTGTCTGAACGTCAATAAATATGACGGAATAAAATAACTATACAGAAGAGGGGAGGCTGGCGAGGTTACTTTTGAAAGTTTCACTATACTATGGCAAGAAAACGAAAGTCCGCAGAAAACGTTATTTCTGGGTACCCTAATCGGCTCCAAGAGTTAAAATGACGAGCAAATGTCGGGGGTGCATCACGCCTATGAAGGTGCGTTTCAGTGGCCATTTAGCACCCGGATAGAAGCGGCCCATAAGTGAGTGTTCTGTTTTGACAAAGTTGTCATTAAGTGACGCCATAGGCTGGATATTCTTTGCGACTCTCAACCAGTGTTGGCGGTAACCTGTTACTAGTAACGGCATTACTGGTAACACTCACATTTTTTCTGAAACGTGTAACGTATTCGTTACCTTTTCAAAACAGTACCTACGTTACTTATTTCGAGTAACGGGTGACGTAGTTACGTTACTCGTTGCGTGTTCTTGTAAGGCTTAAAAAAGTCAGACTTCAATTGTTTCCGTGTTTGTAGGCGCCAAGTCATGTGGATTTTTAAGTTTTTTCGTTCTTCTTTGTGATCCTTTTGTTGCGAATATTTAGGAGAAATCGTAAAGACGATAAGGTTCTTATGTTGTTTCTTCATAGATATATTGTTTCTTAAAGTGTGGTGCCTATGCATACCTGTACCGTCAAACTAGTAAAACACGTTCATTCCTAATTACCAAAGTAACGGAAAAGTAACGGGCGTTACTTTTTATCTGTAATGGTAACGAGTTACTTTTTCAAAAAGTGACTCAACATTAACGTAGGTCGGTAACGCGTTCCTTTTATTCGCAAGTAACGAGTAACGTATTTTGTTACCCTTTTTTCGGTAACGCCTACAACACTGCTCTCAACGTGCCGCAGAGATGTCTCCGCCAAAATAATTTTCCGTTCCGATTTCTTTTCATAGCTGCGTTCCTGCATGGCCACTGAAAGGGTGAGTGGGTTACTCTTTTTTCCCAAATACGCCCTAACCACAATGGCAACCGAAACCATAAAGTGCAATTCATCAATCGAGCCGGTCGCATGGATGGTAGTACACAGCGGCTGCTCTTCCTGGAACTTGGTGACTTCTGTGTTAGAGGGGGGCAAGTCGGCCGGAGCTCACAATGTTCGAGTGTCGAACATGACTGTTAGCGCTGCGTGCTGAACAGCGCTCGAGGCGCTAACCAGAACTGTAAAGTAACTGTAAAGTAAAGTAAAGGTGTTCAAATAAACTAGAAGCTGTGTTTGAGACTTGTTGTTGTTTTGTCCGTTTTTTTTTTTTTTATTTTTCCGTGTCTCCGGTTTACGATGAAAGTAAGCAAATAGAAATATATAACCTATTGTAATTGATGTCAGTCTTACTAGTAAATAAAATGAAAAAAAAAAACTTTTAACTTAGCCCAGTTGCCATTCCTTATAAACATTATATTGACAAATGCAGAAGTGCAGATTGATTTAATTTCAACATCGGCGCAACATGATCTCACTACCTCCAACTCTACCGAGAGCAGGGTTGAATCTACACGGAACTACGCCAATTTCTTTTCCGCTCTAAAAATCGAACCGCGTGCCAGCTATCACAGGACGTTGCGGGACAGTTTAAAACTAATTTTTATGGGAACGTCTACAGTTTTGAGGAAAACTCCCCCGGTAAATCGACACTCGTGTTTTAAAAGTTGGTACTCCTCAAATATTTTGGACTTTTCGTGGGGCTTGCAGGACAGCTTCTTATCGTTGCGCGACATTCTGTTCGACAACCAGCGCAATGTCTGCTAGGAAAAATTCACATTTTCGCATATGGCTCAAACAGGATATCGAGTGATGAAAGGCATCCCTGATTATTTCCAGTAATACTCGCGTTATATTCACCTGAAGCTACTAAATGAGCTACGCTTAGAGTATCGGCACTCCGTTCCCCGATCTGCTAGTGGGAGCCGCCATCTTGGTGCTTAGTGCAGAGCATGCGCAACTGTCGATCGTCACAATTCAAAAATGCGACTTCCTCTGCTTTAAATACGGTGTCGTGGAGCCCAGGTGATGTTGCTGTGCTCTGTCGCGAACTATTTTAACACTTCTCGAGTGTGGAAAAGCGTTTTCTGCGATTTCAGATAACGCTTCAAATAACCGGCAAGCATGATTTTAGGCACCAGAATGGCTGAAGTGTCGTTACTCTGAAGCGTAGCTTACTTAGTAGCTCTATATTCACCGATAGAGTGAAAAGAGCAAACAGGCCTTTGGAAGGCCCGGCCTCCAGCACGAGCTCTATGACTTCCGCTGTGCTTTGGCTGTGCGCGCGCGCTCGAGGGGCACGAGACGCCCCCAGCCGAAGCATAGCCTCCTCGATACTCACAAAGCCTGGCAGAACGCCACGAGAAGCGGTCGTCGAAATGGAAAAGGTGGAGCGGCAGACAACGGATGAGAGGAGTGCCACGTGACTGGCGCCCCGCTGCGGCGAGACGCCGAAACACACTTCTCCCGAGCGAACAAGTGTGTTTCGGGTCCTCGCCGCTCCAAAAGCTGTGCTCTGACGTCCTGGTTCTCCGAAAAAAGGCTCTTTGATGCTCTGTGCTACCAGATCCTCGCGCTCCGAAATTCCGACCGGGCACTTTATGGTTCCGTCGTCGAACTGCCAGGCTTTGTGAGTATAGAGGAGGCTATGGCCGAGGGCAAGAAGCTAGCGCTGGAAGCAACTGAAGCTCCTTCCGCTCACCTTGTAAGTGACTATTGGCGGCATAATGTTTTTGGAGGCGCCCTTCCATGGTTCCCTCTCCTAACGTCGTTACCTTGCGAACAAAACGTTCGACGGTGATTGTAAGTAGCATGGTGGAAGCTTGAAATCACTGGGCTCTCAGAGCTACACTGCCATCGCCGTCAAAATTCGATTTCATACATTCATTTTATTTCCGTCGATGAGGAATCCTTCGCTAACGTAATACTCGGCATTCAGCCAATCGTGGCAGGAGGACCACTGCGACTCTTCCGATCGCTCACGTCACCAACAGTATGTTGAGTTTGCGCTTAGATTGATCCCTAGAACGAGCACTTTACACCATGCTAATACTTAAAAAAACACACACACAACAAAACGAGATTGATTGTTAGCGTTAGCAATGCCGCCCTGTGCGTACGGACGGAGGTCCTCGCGTCCGTTCCCCCGCCGCGTAGAGCGGTCACCTACCTCCAGGCGGCTTCGCCTTGCACTCCGGAGGCGTGCGGAGAAAGCCGCTGCGAAAGGATCGTGAATTTAAGGGCGGAGGCGGTCCTTCACTACTCATTTTACGTGTATGTAGTTTGTGCGAGCCATGACGTTCTATTGTATCACATTAGGACAAGCGTTGTAAATGAGCACAGAAATAAAGACATGTTGGTGATGATGATGATGGCGAAGGCTGATGAGCCCTACATGCAACACACTTCCGTTCTGGCAATTCCTTCAAAAGAGCGACGCAAGCTTGTTTTTTTTTTTCCCGTTGATACATTGTTTTTGCACGCGAAGCGCTAAAATATGATCTCAGGACACCACTAAATTGCAATTTCACAACAGAGTTGTACATTTAGAAGAGAACAAAACTTAACTTGCCACAATTTCTTCATCAGTGTAGGTAAAGCGCTTCGGCAATTATATATATATATATATATATATATATATATATATATATATATATATATATATATATATATATATATATATATAATGTTTCTGTGAACTTTATATTATTAGTAATAACAATTTGCTTCAGGTGGCTCGTTACGTTTCGTTGCCATTGCTTGTGACCGAGAAATTAAGAGGGAAAGTGGAAGACAATCGCGAGAAGCTGATTCTCGATCACTGGCGTTTTGCGGACGAAAAACTTATTTTGCGTTGCAACTATTTTTTATTCGTTTGGTAGGTGTGCCTTTGGAAATTATGTTTCTGGGAAAGATTGTCAAATGTTTCCTTGCGTGCACTGCGCGTAAACACCATTGGAACGAAAATAACATTGGCGTTTTATTGTAACTTACTCGTGCCGGGCGATCGGTATCAAGCCCAAATGGCGGTTGCAGTTTCGGTGACAAAGCGGTTGCTTTTTTTTCACTGAGAGTGCACGACTCTGGGAGCAAAACACGGTTCGCCCACTTACTGCATAAGCTGATTAAGGGAAAGACAGGCAATGGGTGTTCCGAGCGCATCGCGGCAAAGTATACACGCAGGGGCAAATAAGAGTGTTTAGTTCTTATTTTCAGACCAAAATGTTTTTGACCCTGAACTTTCTTTTCTTGGAAGTTTTTGGCGTTTTGAGTTAAGAGCGAATAGAACAAAATAAAAAAAAATAAAAGACTTTTAAACGCCGAATTAGAGCGCAGCTCTTGAAGAGGAGGAGGGGAAGGAACGGAGAGGAGGGTATGTCCCTCCTCCTCATCCGTACCATCCCCTCCTCCTCTCCAGCTCGCCTCTCATTTAGCGATAAATTTTTCGCTAAATTTCCCGCTAAACTTAGCGGGAAAATGTTTTCGTTAAATTTAGTGGGGAACTGTTTCCGCTAAATCTAGAGGGAAATTTGTCCGCTAAATATTGCGGGGAACTTTTTCCGATAAATTTAGCGGGGAAAGTCTTTCGTTAAATTTAGCGGGGAAAATTTTCCGCAACATTTAGCGGGAAATTTTACTCACAATGCAACGCGCGGTGACCCTCGTGACGTCACAAGTGACGTCACGCTTGACGTCATCAAGAGAAACGTCTCATCATGCACCGCGCGGTTACGCCGACGGCGACGCCAATGCCGCTCAAGCTGGAAACGGGCGCCTAAGAGGTGCGCTCTAAAAGTTGACCTTGCGGAGCTAGGAGGAGGGGCGGCCGCCCCTTCCCCCCCCCCCCCTATACCCGCCCCTGCAGCAGACAAGGATGGCGGCGCCCTGAGTTAAGAGAGAGGAGGGGACGTCAGAACAGCGAACTCTGGTTGGGTAGACACAAAGCTAACTGCCTTTGTCTCGCTGGTCGAACATGTTTGAACGCCGAACGCGTTTGCTTTCGAAAAGTAAGTGGAGACGAAGGCAGCTAGATTTGCGTCCAATTATTCCGACGTTCGCTCATCTCATTTCCCTCAGTATCGTATTGGCATGGTAAATGTACCCGGACGGCTTCGGCAGGTGAAGAACATGCAGCCCGTGGCGGGCCCCGTGCCGCAGCTCCCGGAGCCCGAGCAGCCGATCCAGGCCGGGGTCTCCGGGCCCGAGCAGGGCGGCGCCCACGTGACCTCCAGCCCCGGGCCCACGACCCAGCCGGCGGCCCCGACCACGACGCCCGGCCCCGCGCCGCCAGCCTCCGAGGCGCCCAGGGAGGACACGCCGCCGGCCGCTGGCGGGGAAGGCAAGCACCGTTTCGGCTGTCGCCCGGCGGCAGTCACGTAGTCGCCTTGAGGAAGCGCAGCGTTCCTTGTTGCCCGAGTACGCTGCTCGATACCGAGTCTCGGAGGGAATGCCCTGCCTCGCGGTCACGCTGCTAATACATCATACAGTCTTCAGCCACTGTCTGTGGCCTTCCGTGTGTCACATTGCTCGCAGAGGAGATGTTTGCAGACATGTATGAAGCAATGCTTCGAACATCCTTGAGGTGCAGATGTCATCCTGTCTGCGTCGAGCAGCGTGTCATTTGAATGATGTTAGAGCAGTGTGACAGCAACGCTCATTCTGGTTAGCTTTCGGGTTTGACTACAGGGAGAACGACGTCAAGGTAAAAAATAAAAACGCGGTGAAGAAACACACACACACACATACACACACAGGCACAGACACACACACACACACACAGACACACACACACACACACACGTAGTCTGCGAACTAAGCTCGTTGGTCTGCTTTCGCCTTGGACGCTGAGCTTAACTGGCGTTTGCGGTCGGGCAGCAGGAGAAGGACTGTCCTCTGTTCACGACTTCGAGGTTTAGAAGTTTGTCCTTTTCGAACAAGCGTCGAATTCACTTTCGCGATTTCCTTCGAAGAAAAATGTGTCCTACGGACTGTGTTGTCCAACGTATAATACGGAATGCATGATCTTGAGCACTCCAACTAGTTCATCGAAGACCAGCCAGACCAAATTCACGTTGGATTCCCCGTCGCAGAGCACGCATTTATTTATTTTATTTATTTACAATACTGCGGACCTTTCGGTCTACGCAGGAGAGGAAGTACAAAAGCACATAATAAATACATGATCATGCACTCTGTGCGGGTCAAGCGTGCGCAGGCAGTTCGAAGTGCCTGCGCATTCTTTACATGCATCACTTAATTAAATCATCATTGTTCGTATTGTGTCATGTGTTTAGGATGACCGCGAGGTCCGTATGCTTTTTTTATTCCTAAGGGTCGCCGATGCGAAACGATATCAGAACATAAGACACATTAGTATAAACGATATGGAGCCGCAGAAACGTTCACAAAAAGCGGAACATACACAAAAATAACGAGACGTTTCGAAATTTCTGTATTCTGAAATTAGAGCGCAGCTCCTGAGGAGGAGGAGGGGAGGATACGGAGGGGAGGGTATGCCCCTCCTCTCCTCCTTCTCTCCTCCCCCTCCTCTTCCTCCCTTTCTCTCCTCCCCCTCTCCTCCCCCATTTCCTCCTCCTCCGTACCCTCCCCTCCTCCCACAGTTTCCCCACTAATTTAGCTGGAAAATAGACGTCACATGACCTTAAACTATTTCAGTTTCCCCGCTAAATTAAGCGGGGAACATGACGTCACATGACGTCGTGTCACGTCACCTATGAACAAATTCAGTTTCTCCGCTGAATGTAGCAGGAAAATTGACGTCGCGTGACCTCAACACCAATTCAATTTCTCTCTAAATTTAGCGGGGGGTTAAACCGACTGCGAGGGCGACGGCGACGCCGACGAACGGATGCCGAATAGCTGCGCTTTAAAAAAGGCGTGTTTTACTTTTACGAGACCGTCTGTTCGAGGAAATCGATGGAATACCGCACGACCCTTCCTTGCTTGATTGTAGCGGAGCTTTCTACACTTTTATCTCTCGAGAGGATGGTGAGATGTCGCTTCTTCGTATCCTTTGTATACACTTCGACGCACCTTAAAATTCGCGGATAGCGAAACAAAAAAGACTGCTTACCAATCACTAGTACGTCCTAGACTGGAATACGCTCTCACAGTTTGGTAGCCGCACACAGCAGATGGAAGTAATAAACTTGAACGCGTGCAAAAACTGGCTGGGAGATTTATATTTAATAATTTCAGATATACTGTGTATGCGTCAAGTTCGGCTAGACTAAATCATACTAGAACCATTAAACAATATAGAATTAAGCACGATGTCTTCAAATATTTTTTCCCCTCGGGAAATGAACGAATGGAATTCTCTCGCTAACGCAATGGTAACCCTTCCGTCACTCGATATTTTTGTAGAGGCAGTTGCTTCTGCCACGTGAAAGTGCTCGTAACCATGTCACACCAATGCAATATGTACCACCCCTGCTATGGCTCACAGACGGGAGCCGCAGTACCATTGAAATAAACAAAAAAATCTGCTTTTAAAGCTCATCCGCCGGCATCTCTTGGCCAAACAAGTTCAGCCGGCGTTTTTCGGTCACTTCACTACTAAGTTTCGGCCCAGGACAGGATGCTACGGAGGCAGGCTGAATGCATGGATTAAATGCAGTTTAAGACTTGTAGTCTACGTAGAAGTTGAACGAAAGAGACAGACAAGCCAGGAAGTATATAGCTCTCGGTACAACCATTTGATGCTTTGAGAAAGATACCAAGAGCGAGTTTCAAGCTCTGGATCTTTTGTTCAGACTTAACGCAGTTGTGTTGTGGAGACTAGACCAATGCTCGATCACCGTCTGGTATTAAACTAAAGTTTTTTTCTTTCTTTAATGTGCCGGTTTCTTTGACGCGTTTCACTCGGCCTCCAGGTGAAAACGTGCCTGCGGGCGGTGGAGACAGTGAAGACCCCCGGGAGGATAACCCGAGGCCCGGCGACGCCGTCGCGGTGACGTCTTCGCCGCCTCCGGCGAGCACGGCGGCCGTGCCCGCGGACCCTCCAGGCGGCGAGGTCCCGGACGACATTTTGCCGCCCCCGCCCGCGGACGAAGGCGGTGACGAGATGAGCTTCTACCCGTGCCTGTGCGCGCGCAAGGCCAAGTTCCGGGGCCGCTGGAAACAGCGACACAACAGCCGTCGCCGCGCCAGGGCCGCCCCCGCCACCAGCTGGAAGGACTACAACTTCCTCTTCCCGCTCGGCGCCGTTAGGGTGCGTGCCGCTCGGCCACCGGCCAGAGCTCCCCTGGGCTGCGCGCAACGTTCTTAGATCTGTCCTTTGATAAGCTGCAGGGAAGAGTGTCGTTCGAAAACGGTCCTTCTCTGCCGCTCGCACGCGTGCAGGTTCAGCCGGATAGCGATTTTTGCGCGACCAGCAACACCGCTCCAATGGTCAACGGAGAAGGACCGTTTCTGAACGACGTACGCTCTTTTTGCGAAAATTTTCTGTTTATCATACAATCAAGAGTAGAAGCACTTTCCACCGCAGGCAGTGTGCATTTAACGTTCCACCTGCTCAGTCGATTATGTCCATAGGGCGGCCTGATAGCGTAGCGAGCGCCTCCGAGTGGACGTGCCACGAAAAGGCGACAGACGTTCTAGGAAGCTTGCCAACTGACTTTGATCTATTAAAGTTGAACTGCGCGAGAGTCCAAAAGGCGAAAGAGAAGGCGGCCTGAACTGAAGGCCGCCTTCCCTTTTGCCAGGTTCTCGGGGGATTCCGTTTTCGATCAAAAGTGTTTGTACAGGAGCTTAGGACCCCGTTCCCTGCATGCCTCACTGCGTGTTCTTGTCCCGGCTGCCCTAGCCTCCAGGTCTATCCTCCAAGTAGATCTAGCCTCAATGTTTCGTTTTATGTGCACTTATTTTACGCAAGAATCGCTTAACGTCCCTGAGCCGAATTTAAACATTCGACCGGGTATGGCTATCGGGGTAGAAGGGTGCTGAGCTGGGCTAGATGGTTCCGATTACACATGATTCAAATCAGCGAACAACGTTAGGAAACTGTTGAAGGAAACAGAAGACAGGAAAGACGCTGAATGGCTATCGGGTTTTTGGTTTTCGGCGTCTATTTCTGGCACGATTGTGACACATGAAGTTGGAGTGTATCGGCTTCTATACTTGGCACTGGCGTGACTCCAGCATGTGGAATGGGAGAAAGACCGCAGCGGTACACGAGGGCGAGAGAAAATACAGTGGTACATTTGATTCTAAGGAATGTTCCTTCGGTTGCCTGAGCCTGAATTCCGGATTTTTTGTATCGTCGAAAAGGCCGCCTTATTACGACCGATTTCTACATTTGCGGCTTTTTGTGGGAGTTGTAGTTTCCTCAGCGCTTGCCATGGCTCGCACGACGTTCCGTCACAGCGACTACGGGTCTGCTAGCAAAAGATCGGCGTTGTGCCCCGATGCGGCAGCGCCTCCCCTCTTCCTGCGGATTGACATTCTCGGACGACCGAACAAAGGGGAACCGGACACTTCGCTCCCTGTTGAGAACTCAGCTCCGGTATCCAAAGCCAACAAGCCAACGAGCGGGAACCGGACGAAACGTAATTTTCGCTCTGATTTGCGGCCTCTGATTTGCTTCTCCTTGGTACTCCTTCATCCACCGGCTGATGTGAGCTTGTGTAGGGCAGCAGAACAACATGAGGTATGGAAAAGAAGCGCGGGTTGTCAGTAGCTTCCAACGTGAAATAGCAGATGATCACTATTTCAACCCGCGCCCGATCTCAGATCTCCGCGGCACTCGGTTCGTAGCCGACGATCAATGTGATCAATGCTTTTTTTTTTCCCGGTCCGTAACCAGACCGCATACTACGTTGCGTTCTTTTTTTGTGTGTTTTGAATGGCGCTTCGTAGCAGACGAACCGCGTTCTCTGCCGGCATTGGCAAACGAACCGTCTACAAACGCAATCTTTGCTCTCCCCGCGAGAGGCAAAGTAGATCTTGCGGTGTTAAATCGGTTCCCTGCAGAATCCACGGAGAACGCTCGGAGGAGAATATGGCCGGATATCTGAATAGTCCGAATATCTGGATAGTCCAAATATCTGGATAGTCCGAATATCTGGATAAATAACCCGAATATCCAGACCCCGCGGTCAGATCCCTTTGAGGCTGGCCGTTTGAGCCGAGGATGATCTGGATTCGACGGCTGCTGCCAGCGTTCCCTGCGGTTGTCCTGCAATCACTGAACGTTGTTTCTACGAGGGGTTTTTAGTCAGTTCGAAGCCTAACATAGAAGCGAGAACTCTGAGATCAAGAACACAGTTTTATTTTTCAACCCAGGCCCCTTGAACGTCCGCACGCTTCACACATCGCTAAGTTCTCTTATTCCCGAAGAGAACAAACCTTTTGTTACGTCCCTAAAAATAGTGATCAACTGCCTCTTTGAGGTCATCATCATAAAGAAATCGGTGTCCTCGAAGATTTTTCTTTGATGTCGAAACAAGAAGAAACAACTGGGGGCAAGGTCCGGAGAATAGGCTGTATTGTTGGCGACTTCGAACCCGCATTGTCGTACAGCGTCTTGTGCAATGTGGAACATGTGCACTGGAGCATCGTCGTGAAGATATTAATTCGTCTTGCTCAATTTCCCCCGGTGTTTTTTATTGGTGGCCTCACGCAAATGAACCAGCACTTGGATGTAATAGACCCCTGTTATTGTAGTTTTGGGTGGTAGGGGATTCATCAGCAGAGCACTATCTTCATCCCTCCCCAAAAAAATGTCGCTATGATGTTGCCCGCAGAAGCTGTCTTGAATTTTAAGGATTCTTGCGCTTCCAGGCCATGCTCTATTGTTTGTTCACGGGGTCCAGTGGTAGGTCCAGGTTTTAGCCCCCGTCACCGACCGCCGGTAAAAGCAGCTCCCATCAGCGTTCATCACTGCAAACATTTCGCGACATCATTCCACTCGATCCTTCTTCATTTCAGGTGTAAAAATTTTGGGAACCCAACGCGCACAGTCCTTGGACAGACCCAAATGTTCGCGAAAGATCGTTGGCACGGACCCAGTACCACGGCCCACTTTTCCACTGCAAAGTTTTGTAGCAACCTGGAGAATCGCAACACGCCTATTCATTGTGACCATGCCTTCCACTCTGCGACACATTTCCTCAGTGGTGACTTCAACGGGGCGATAGTGTCGTAGGTCGTCTTCCAAAGACGTTTGATAGCCTATTACTGCGCGCTGTTTCCGTACACACTCGTCATGCGCTCATGAATACTTGCCGCCGTTGTTCCCTCTTTCACCAAAACTTGGATCCCGCCACGGTGCTTCAAGCCGTCATCCTCTTCAGATGATGAAAATAATCCCTGGAGAAGGGGAACAAGAGGGACAAAGGACAAACACAAATCTCCAAACACAGCTAGGTGACTGGTGCGCGACCGAAAAAATCCGCCTGGTCCGGGTATCGAACCCGGGACCTCTCCATTACAGGTGGAGCGCTCTACCAATTGAGCTAACCAGGGGTTAGACATCAGTAGAGCAAACGGGTTTTATCAGCTGCCACCAGTCTAACACCAACAAGGGTGAAGCTTGCAATTTAAGGTTATAATTAGAATGCAATTAAATGCAAAGGTGCAAGCGAGCTGGACAAGAATGATGAAATTAATCCCTGGAGAAGGGGAACAAGAGGGACAAAGGACAAACACAAATCTCCAAACACAGCTAGGTGACTGGTGCGCGACCGAAAAAATCCGCCTGGTCCGGGTATCGAACCCGGGACCTCTCCATTACAGGTGGAGCGCTCTACCAATTGAGCTGACCAGGGGTTAGACATCAGTAGAGCAAACGGGTTTTATCAGCTGCCACCAGTCTAACACCAACAAGGGTGAAGCTTGCAATTTAAGGTTATAATTAGAATGCAATTAAATGCAAAGGTGCAAGCGAGCTGGACAAGAATGATGAAAATAATCCCTGGAGAAGGGGAACAAGAGGTACAAAGGACAAACACAAATCTCCAAACACAGCTAGGTGACTGGTGCGCGACCGAAAAAATCCGCCTGGTCCGGGTATCGAACCCGGGACCTCTCCATTACAGGTGGAGCGCTCTACCAATTGAGCTAACCAGGGGTTAGACATCAGTAGAGCAAACGGGTTTTATCAGCTGCCACCAGTCTAACACCAACAAGGGTGAAGCTTGCAATTTAAGGTTATAATTAGAATGCAATTAAATGCAAAGGTGCAAGCGAGCTGGACAAGAATGATGAAAATAATCCCTGGAGAAGGGGAACAAGAGGGACAAAGGACAAACACAAATCTCCAAACACAGCTAGGTGACTGGTGCGCGACCAAAAAAATCCGCCTGGTCCGGGTATCGAACCCGGGACCTCTCCATTACAGGTGGAGCGCTCTACCAATTGAGCTAACCAGGGGTTAGACATCAGTAGAGCAAACGGGTTTTATCAGCTGCCACCAGTCTAACACCAACAAGGGTGAAGCTTGCAATTTAAGGTTATAATTAGAATGCAATTAAATGCAAAGGTGCAAGCGAGCTGGACAAGAATGATGAAAATAATCCCTGGAGAAGGGGAACAAGAGGGACAAAGGACAAACACAAATCTCCAAACACAGCTAGGTGACTGGTGCGCGACCGAAAAAATCCGCCTGGTCCGGGTATCGAACCCGGGACCTCTCCATTACAGGTGGAGCGCTCTACCAATTGAGCTAACCAGGGGTTAGACATCAGTAGAGCAAACGGGTTTTATCAGCTGCCACCAGTCTAACACCAACAAGGGTGTTCCCCTTCTCCAGGGATTATTTTCATCATTCTTGTCCAGCTCGCTTGCACCTTTGCATTTAATTGCATTCTAATTATAACCTTAAATTGCAAGCTTCACCCTTGTTGGTGTTAGACTGGTGGCAGCTGATAAAACCCGTTTGCTCTACTGATGTCTAACCCCTGGTTAGCTCAATTGGTAGAGCGCTCCACCTGTAATGGAGAGGTCCCGGGTTCGATACCCGGACCAGGCGGATTTTTTCGGTCGCGCACCAGTCACCTAGCTGTGTTTGGAGATTTGTGTTTGTCCTTTGTCCCTATTGTTCCCCTTCTCCAGGGATTATTTTCATCATTCTTGTCCAGCTCGCTTGGACCTTTGCATTTAATTGCATTCTAATTATATCCTCTTCAGACATTGCCGCTTGGCGACCTTCGACGTAGATCGACGCAAGATCGACCGAGAGTAGAGAGCGACGTGCCTTGCAACTTCCTTTTTTTAAAAAAAATAATTTGTCTCGATGTTTGATGCAATGTGCATGTAACAGTTTAATATCTATCGCATCACACTTAGAGGGACGAGGTTTACTTTGCGCTCACCGAGCGCGCCATGACGAACGCGGTTTCGCGGTCGTAACTTTGCGGAGTTCGGAGTTTCCAGGCTCAGGGCGTACAGGAGGAGCGGACATCTTTCATAGCAGTTTTCAGCACATTAAGAATTAAATTATTGAAAACCGTGAATGTGAACGATAATCCTTTTCGTTGTTATTTTCCCACCGTTGTATTCTGCACTAAGTTCTTCTTATGGGATTTTTGGGGGGGGGGGGGGGGGGCGGGGGAGAGGAGGGGGAGTGGGGACGGAATACTTTAAACCAGAAACCCTTAATTATGGCATACGCCATTTCTTTTAATACAATGTTCACGTTATATGCAAAAAAAAAAAAAAAAAATGTCGCTCCGTTCCACAACGCAGTGGAGAGTGCGAGAGCTTCCCCCCAGCGTGGGACGCGGATGACGGCTTCCCGTGCCGGTCTTCCCGAGCGTCGAAGCCAGGAAGCACGGCACAGCCTGGGCTCGTTCCGGAAGTGCCCTCCGTGGCTCGCTTGCCAGATAGCGCATCGATTTTTGCCATCCTTCTCGCAACGAAGCGAACTTAGGTCGGCCAGGTGCGCCCCGCGTCGAAACCGGCGGTCACTTTATGAGCGGCGGGATTTCCAGCGATGACGGCTCGGAAAGGCCGCGAACGGTCGCGCTTGGGTTTTGGTACCTTCGACGACAATTTGTCCTCGGAGAAGGCGCTGGGCAGATGTAGTTGAGTGGCACTCTAACGACGCGGTGAATACATCACACAGGCGGCAGAGACTGTCTGATGTCTGTTTCTTCCTGTCGCGTTGCTCATACAAAAACTATCTGCAGACGTGATTGAGGCATGTAGGAAGCAAAGATGCTTCGAACAAGTGTCTGCGACTTTTTCCCCGATACCTTGTTTTCAGAGAAGGCGCTGGGCAGACCTTGTGCGGTGTGTATTAAGACAGGGAGTCGTTGTTGGGTGCCGTTTTAGACGGGACATGGGAGCGCCCGCACTTTCGGCGAAAACCTCGGTGTGGACGCGCAACGGAAAAAGACGACCGTGGGGCAACGTCGTCCGTGTTTGCTTCTAAATAGGCAATTGCTGAATTATATTGCAAGAACCAACGCAAGCGCACACCAAGGGGGCGTTTGCTGCCGTTTATCCTTCGGCATTTTTCGGGCCTACATTGGAACGTAATGCGCCAAATTATAATCGCTCAACGTCGCGAAAAGCTTACAACCTTTCACTGAGTCGAGGTTCGGTTGCGTACCGTTTTTCTTCTTTATTGTTATGCACAAAGGAATGCGTCAAGGCGTGCCCCTTTCCAGGAGCTTTAATCTGAACACGTTGCTAAAAATTCGACCGCCGCCATTCCCTGAAATCAAGCGCGGCGCCGACCAATCAAGGCAGCCGCATTCCTCGCCCACTTTTTCGCCAAGTGTCCAAATTAGAGCCCCGGTACTTTAAGGTCCCTACGGGTGAAGAGGTGTAACACGCTATCGCGGGCTGAGATAACGTTTTTTCTTCTTCTTAACTCTTTCATACTGCCACCATGAGCAGACTGTAGAGCGGATACTCGTGTATTGGAATTCGTCGCGGCTACAAAGGATAACTCGCCCTATGGGACTTGGGGTAATATATGCATGTTCATCGGGATCAAACGTCACGCCCGAGGGGAGTTAATGTGACAAAAACTTGAGAGAGACCACCATCTCCGAAAAAAAGTTGATATAACTTCTCACGTTATATGCGCTACATGGAAAGCCTCACATGCAGCGTTTAACGACAATCGTGCGATTAACTCTATCTAAATTTCCCGCCTTCAGGCACGACGCGGCAAGGACTAAGTGATCTCTACTTTTTGTTAGCAAAATGTTCTCATTGAACGGCTGCACCCCGGGGACACTGTATCAAATTAAAGCAAATGTTACGCTAAATGTAAAATTTCACATTCAGGCGTTATGTTGGCCGATACTGGACTAAAAGTGCCCGTAGGCCATCTAGCTCTGGGCCACAAAGCCCCATATGAACGGTGCAAATATCTACACAGCTAGAAGTCGATTCGCCTCTGAAATTTGAAGATACTGCATGGTTTCACGATGTCGAAGGGAATTCCTTCCAGTCTAGTGCGACCATTGTATCTGGAGCCCGTCTCCGACTGGTGTGTTTAGCGTTCTATGCTGCCCATACATCAGAAAGGCCCCGACGTGGCAACAAATGGCGTCACAGAAGCCGGAGTGTCATGCTGTCGCACGCCGCGATCCTGGCTGTTGGTCCTAGAAATGCTATCGAAACGATGAAATGGTATTCGATCGACCGTGGTAGATTTTTCCAGTAACGTACTATCGTACTCGTTAGATCGCAAAATGACTAACGAGTAAAGTAACTTCGCTACTATTTTGCGGTGTTTTCTATTCTATTACGTTAAGCACGAGCGAACGGGAATGTCGCTGTCGTCTCGGCGTCCCAACTTCTGGCTGCCGAAGCTTCCGTAAACTGTCACATTGGAGAACGACCTGCGGTAGAACAGGCGTCTGCCACGTACAGCACTGGGACGCCGCCAGGATTGCGACCGGCGACAGCATGACACTTCTATGACGTCATCAGGCGGAAATCGAGGGACCCCTTGTTTGGCCGCGGTGAACGCGTTAGTCGGAGGCGCGTTCCAGGCACCATACTACGACCGGAAACCTGGAGTTCTGGATGTTCATCACGCGGTAGTGCACGTTATATCGACCTCTCTTTTCCCCCCACTTCTCCTACAATGTCTCTTCCCGAGTTCAACAGTATGATGAACCTTTCTTTGCCACATCATAAACTCACGTCTGTTCCTCCGCAGGAATGCCTCGTGTCCACCACCTAGCGAGGAAGAGCAGTTCTTGTGCGCACCTGGATCACTTCACTCCTGGGATCAACGTGCGGCATTCTTTGAGGGCAAGAAAAAAAATACAAAAAACAAAAAACGGACGAACGAACTTCGGAAACGACAGGACAGCAGTATTGTGCGCGAAAGTGTACGCTCGAAACCACGGACATTTGCAGCCCGGAGAAGGCAGCGGAAAGCCGTGACTTCGCCAGGAGTCGTTTCACCAAGCTGATTATTATTTTTTAATTGTTTAGAGAGGAATGCATTACGGGATGATCCCTATAAAAATAAATATGCGAAGAATCGACTGCCTGCATAGCCCTTGGACAGTTCACAGAAAGTGAATTTTGAGCATCTTTAAGAAGTTTCTGCGACCGGTTGACTAGATAGAAGCGCCATGGATCGGGTCGCGTTGACGTCACTAAGCGTTCGGCGTATGCGTGACACCTCCCTAACTTTAGTTCACAGGATATGCACAGGGGGCAAGCGGCAGGGAGACATCTCGTGCTGTCTCGTGTTCTGCACGCGCAGAGCTCCAGCAATGTTGTCGAACGCGCAAAGACTAAAGGCCGGTTCTCAGATGTAGCGATCGAAAGTGTCGCTGTGGTCGGCCCACCACAATTGGCCGAATGCTGACTATGACGCCAGGAAAGGATTTCTCATCGACGGAAATAAGAGAAATGTAAGAAGTTCAATTTTGGCGGTGTTGGCAGTGTTGCTTTGAGACCGCTATGATTTCAGGCTTCCAGAATGCTCATTACAAACACCATCCAGCTTGTTGTTCACAAGGTAATGACGTCACGAAAGGTAACCAACGAGGGCGCCACCGAAACATCTCGCCGCTAATAGCGCTGATTGATTGATTGAAACGTTTATTATGTGAACCATACCCTTGGTTGGAAAACGTTTATTGTAAGAAAAAAAAGAAAAGTCTTGCGACTGAAGTCTTTAGACTTTAAAAAATGTGAGGGGGGGGGGGGGGAGGCGTCGCGCAGGTACAGGAGCTTGCTACGCGGTGCCTAGATGAATCTTTTTATTCCTGTAGAGGCGATGAAGTCTAGGAGACTCTTAAGCAGCTCCTTATTGCGTTCTGTATCTTCTAACGCTTGTAATGGTTGGGTCCATTCTTCATAACTTATTACCCTTGCTGAGGTCTTATGCTTCACCCTCTTTTCTTTCCAGCACTCGCATTCCCAAAACATATGCCTTAGGCTTCCTGTAGTCTGTTCGCAGAAGGGGCAGCCGCTATCTTGGCTTATGCCTTTTCTACTAAGCGTACATGGGTCGTTCGTGGCTTCAGAGTGCAACCTCCTAATGCAAACCCTTTGCCACCTACTGAGCCTCATTGTTGGTAGGGCAGGAGGGATAGGTTTAAGGGCATTAAGTCTGGCCCTTCTTCGTTCCTTATTGACGTCCCTGGCCTCGTGAGGAGCGAAGTCAAACGGGTCCCGTTGCTCGACGGGCACGATGGCTGGAAGCGTCGATTGGTGGCGATAGTATTGGAAGATTATCTCCGCCTTGGCTTCCCGCTCGGCCCTGTCTTGTCCAAGGATCCCTGAGTGACCGGGAACCCACTCCAGGTAGAAGTTGGTGTCCTTGCTTCTTGCTTCTTTGATGTTTATCATGATCTTTTGTGCTGCCTTGTCCATGGTGCATGGGTTTCGAAGTTCCTCGATGGCCTCTCTAGAGTCCGAAAAGAGGTATATTGTCTTCTTTTCTTCATGGCAGTGGCTCTGTATGGCGTCGGCCACTGCTTCTAGTTCGGCCCTTTTCACGTGGGTTCCTTCTTCCAGGAGCCTTCGCCCATAGTTGTTCTTTATCGTGTTAAACCATGCACAAGCCGCTTTTCCCTCCTTAGTAACTGTTGCATCGGTGTAGATGACCTGGGTGTTTTCTTTTTTCTGGAGTTTTTTTACTCTCCTCAGGTGCTTCATCCCCGCAGTTTCCCTGTCCCTGACCTGGTCTCTTTTGTCTGGTACGTCTGTTTTGATTAGCGCCGATTCCCAGGGGGGAGGTTCCTCCTCTGGTTCCTCCATTTGTGGACATATGTTCCTCATTTTAAGTATGGCTATTTTAAGTATGGCCTGAAGGCAGGCCATACCCTGGCCTGCCTTCAGCTACTTATTGTTTCTTATGAGCAACAGTTTTGACGGTGCGATACAAAGCTGGTGAACGCTCCTGTCAGCACGCACTTAGCGCGAGGTCAGCGCTGTGCTTGTAGCGCTCCGCTGCATGTGTGAACAGGCCTTTAACTTCTCACGATGCATTGGTGCAGAGGGGGCGTAGCTAGCGTAGCCAAACTGGCTGGTGACATCGGTCTATGTTTCACAAGAATTCCACACTCTAAACAGCACTACCAAGGAAAATGTTTCCAGTGTATAATTACATGCGCTGCACGCTCTGGCGCCTGCAGTAGTGCCAAAACATAATTCATCTTGTACGCGCGTACGTCAACGCCTTATTTAGATTATTTACTTCGAATTTTTTGTTCCTGAAAGGCGAGCGCGTACGGCGCGTAGACTTACATTCTCAGCATTCTCCTTGATGCTTGGGCAATTTAGCAATATGTCTATTGCAAGAGCGAGGAATCGCCTGGTGCCTCATTCTAGCCGGCGCTTTGGGGTGACGTCAGCAACACGAGCTGACATATGAACGATTGAAAGCAGGGACTGATCTCTATGACAAATGCTAGATCGCGTTTGCCCGCTCCGCGAATGCGGCCACTAGCGGCCATCTTTTTGGTAGAGTTATCTTACCTCTAACAAATGTACAGCTGGTGCAGCCACTATCATCCATCCATGGCAGACAGCGTTGTAGCAGTTGTGGTGGCAGGCTGCCATCAAAATAGCGTGGGTGATATTTCGTGCTTGATTGAAATTGTTCCGTAAAACATATTTTTGAAACCGGCGTGAACGATAGCCCGATCTTTGAGGACCCGGCGAAAGTTTCACGAAATCGCAGCACCGGGGAAAAGCAGCTCAGCACGCATCGAAAGTCGCATCGAAAGAAGCATCGAAAGCAGACGCCGGTGCGGAGTCTGCTTTCGATGCGAGCTGCGCTGCTGTTTGTTTGTTTGTTTGTTTATTTATTTCTGGGGTAACGGGAAAGGGTGGACACCTGGAGATTGTGGGCCTCCGTTGATGGGGAGAGTCACTACCTGGTGGGGGATTAGGGAAAGGGATGAAAAAGAGAATAGGAGAGAGTAAAAGAATGAGAAAAAGGGCAATTTTTGCATACTGTGAGTGCCATGCAGAGAGGCTCAAGAAGGGACATGAAATGTTCAGCACAGCGCCACCGCAATGATGTCACCGCCCCCGCCACGCCGGGAGCATACCCCAAACCGACCGCAAGGAATCGCTCAGCCTTCCTCCGTGCCCCACTGCCCGGGAGTTTTTGTTCCAGTGCGGCACCCACATGACGGCTGGCCCGAACGTCGCCCCTCCTCCTTCTCCGGTGCGGCCCGAGCCCTGCCCCGGCACCGCAGCAACAAAAACGACACCGCGGCACCGCTATGTTAAAACTTTCTAGTCACTGTTTCGCTGGAAACGTGATCAATTACCAGCATCTGGCCGATTCCCTAGTAAAGTCAAAGTCTGTCTTCAAGGCCTGTTTCTCGAAAAAATCGTAGAAGTGCACGAAACGCTCTTGCTGTCGCCCACCGGTGACCCTCAGTATTAAATATGTCGTTGACAGTGTCATGTATAAGTAAGTGACAGTGGCATGTATAAGGCATGTGCGTAACTCTGAAGAAGCGTTCTTCTGGGGTCACATGAGCAGGGCACAACAGGAACGCGTGCTCCGAATCTTCTGGATCCCCACAGTCTGGACAGTTGGGGTCTTGTTTGCGGCCCATCATGTGAAGCCGCTTTCCCGTGTATGGACACCCAGCCCGGAGTCTGTGTAGCAGTGAGGGGTCGGCACGTGGAAGGTTCCGAGGAATCGTTGGAGGCGGCTTGCCAATCGCCACTCCAGGATGTGAATGAAATTGCTGAAGCTCATCATGAATTAATCGATGCCCCTCGTTGAATCGGTCCAACAGAAACGTCGGCGCCGGATCGTCATGGGCCCTTGCAGCCAGTGTGTCCGCTCGCTCATTGCCGGAAATTCCAACATGAGACGGGATCCACTGCATGGCGACTGTCCACCCTAGATCCTCCACTGTTTGAGCCTCTAATGCAATTCTAGCCAGTAGTGGCGTGCGTTTATCACTTCGTTGGAGCTGTTGGAGTGCACCTTTAGAGTAGGTTAAAATTACAACCTTAGTGGACAACGTAATGTTCTTGATAGACTCAAGCGCTCCCCAAATGCCACCAGCTCTGCCGTTGTTGATGACGTCACAAAGTTGAGTCGTCCAGCAACATCAAAGTCCATTTCTGGAATTGTGATTGCAACTGTTGCTGTTTTCTTGGCCCTGTTGGTCGATCCGTGTGTATATAACTGAATCCAATCCTTGTAGTCGCCATCTAGGCGTTCTATAGCAGCTAACCTCGCAACAATCGTCAGTACATTTGCTTTTTGCTGTGGAAGAGGTAGACTCTCGCATATCACCAGTGGTGGACGTGTCGAATGCGGAGGCGAAGAAGGGAGGAACTCCTCAGGGCCTCTAATCTCTCGATTGAATCACCCTATCAAATGCCCCAAATGAGAGTTTCGTCTAACCCGAAGGTGAGGTCGGATGCTAAACTCAGAGGGCACACCACTCATGCGACTAATGTTGCGCATGGCTCTCTCCTCCAGTCTTAGAGAAAGCGGCCATACCTCGGAAGACACAAGTGTCACAATATTTTCCGCCGAAGGGGGAGCCCCAAGCAGCTGCGAAGAGCAATTCGGTGGAATGTCTCAAGTTCTCCAATTTGGGCTCTTCCAATGGCTAAAAGAGGAAGCGAGTACAGGAGCCCATTATGACACTCTTATAAAGTTGGAGAATAGCGCGTTGTGGAGCGGCCCTAAGAGCATCCTCCAAGTTGTCGTATGACTCGCAAGAGCCGTCGGCATTGACCCAGTGTCCTACGAACTTCTGGCCTCCAAGTCACGCAGTCATCCAAGACAGCTCCGAGATAGGTGTGCTGTCTAGCCCTTCTCAGTGGCATCCCAGCAAGTTTCAGCTGCAGTGCATTTTGTGGTGCTCGGCCTGCAGGCCGGTATAGAAGTGAAGCTGTTTTTTCAGCTGAG